TACCACAACTCTGATGTGCAGAATTGTACTGCACAGAAGCCGGACCCAGTTCCATGCAAAAACATGTGGAAATCTCACTAACAAAAGGCTGAGCAAACAAGGCGGGCACAGAAGCAATAACCAGTAAGTTGGGTTAATGGTTACCCTTAGGGGGACAAGGGAGCAAAAGGGGTGCTTCCGGGGTGCTGCAATGTTCTATCTTTTGACATGGGTGCTGGTTACAGAGGTATTTGTGATCATTGAGCTGCACGTACTTTTCCGTGTGTGGTGTATTTCACTATTTTTAACAAGCTTAATTTTTTTTTTTCAACGTTTATTTATTTTTGGGACAGAGAGAGACAGAGCATGAACGGGGGAGGGGCAGAGAGAGAGGGAGACACAGAATCGGAAACAGGCTCCAGGCTCTGAGCCACCAGCCCAGAGCCCGACGCGGGGCTCGAACTCACGGACCGCGAGATCGTGACCTGAGCTGAAGTCGGACGCTCAACCGACTGAGCCACCTGGGCGCCCCTAACCCCTCCTGTTAAAGACACATCTACCTTCAGTGGACGCGGGGGCAACCACACTCGCGACAAATACTCCTCACGCACCTGAGTGCCTGCCTGGCACTACCACGGGCATTCGGGGAGATGACTGACCCAGGCGCTGTCCCTCGGGACCTCTGCGGTCTGCTGGGGAGACACAGGTGCAAACAGACACATAGCGATCCAAGGCAAGAGGGGTGGACAGAAGCATGGACAGTGCCGAGGGAGAAGAGAGTGGGGGACGACCCGCCCACAGAGCAGGGAGCCAAGGGTCGGGCAAATGGGGTGGGGAAGAGCGGCGGCAGTGAGGACAGAGAAGGAAGGGGCAAAGGGGGAGGTCTGTTTGGGGAACATAAGAGCTTTCCTTGTTCCTATTGTAACATTTATCCTGCCGCATGCTGGGTACGGATCTACCTTTCCTTGCTACTGTGTGAGCTCCTGAAGGTGTGCTGTGTTCAGCTTTGCTCAGAGAGGGTGGGCTGTGGGCTGGATGAATAGGGAGGGAGCAAGCCAGGATACAGGCCACTCAGCTTGTCTGAGGTCCCAGTGTTGGGGGGGGGGGCTGCCTCGAAGATCAGTCCCCTTTCAAGAAGCAAAGATCACATGTCACAAGCAAGGGGCATGAATTCGCAGCAGGAACGTAAGTCTGGATGTTATCAGGATGTGCACGCGACGCTCCCAGAGACTACCAGAAGAGCCAGGGCTCTGGACCGAACATACGTCAGGCCCGGGGTGCCCAGGACGGGCCCAGGCGAGCAGAGTCCCGCCCAGCTCTCCGAACTACACGGTGGCCCGGCGGGGGGAGGGGAAGGAAGACCTGGGTCCCGGAGCCAGAATGCTGGGTCTGGACCCCAGCTCTACGACTGACCAGCCTCCCTGGCTACCTGTAACGGGGTTGTGTGCCGTGGGGCAGTTCGGAGCCCTTTGGGTGAGCAAAGGCGGGGGAGGCCTTTCAAAGGCAGGACGTCAGCACCCCGGAGAAGTCTAGAACACCACACCTTCCTTCTACGAACTGCAGGGGATTGGGAGCAGCGGGGGAGACCCCGCAATGACTACCTTTAGGAGAACCCCTGGGCTCTGGCCCTCACCCCCCCCGCCCCCAGGCCTCGGCATGGCCATTTCTGCACCTCTTCATAACCTCCACCCTGCTTCCCAGCTCACCTCCCCGACTGCCTTGAATCCGACAGTCCCCAGTCCCGGACAGAGGGCATGGCGCACAGCGAGCCCTCCGTAAATACCGCCGAAGCTGCGTGACTACACGGTGCTCATCTCACAAGGCCGGGTGCTGGGGACTGTACTGGGCTGAACAAGACACACACGGCTGCTCCCCCTCACGGGCTCTGTGGTCCACCAGGAAGGCAGTCTACTGAGCGCAGGGATGGGGTGCTATGGGGCCACACAGCAGCAGCCCCTGCTCTAGCCTGAAGGTCAGGGAAGGGCAAGCAGAAGTGAGGCAGGCCAAGAAAAGGAAAGCATTCTAGGCCGACGGAGGAGTCTGGGCGAAAGCCAGGAGCACAGGGTGGCAAGAGCTGAGACCAGAGGGAGGAGCAAGGCTAGCAGCTGATGAGTTAAGGAAACAGGGAGTTCTTGAAGAGCGAAGCAGGGAAGGGAGGGATCAGATTTGTGCTCTGGAAAGCTCTGCTCTGGCAGCAGCTTGGAAGAGGATGGGAGGAGAGCCAGAGGCTGGGGGGCGGGGGGTGCAGCTGGAGTCTGTGTGTACAATGACCACGGCCTGGAAAGAGAGGCGGCAGCAAAATGGAGAATAACAGAGCCCCGGATTTTGGATTGGCACGCGGCTGGAATACAAGGCTCGGCTTCCCAGCCTCCCTTGCGGTTAGTTGTGGCCACGTGACCACCACGTCCGGGCCAAAGGGATTCAGGTGAAAGGCTTCTGTGCAACTTCCGGGAAGCCCCTAAGAAGGAAGGGTGCCTTTTTTCACCCTGTGCTTCACTTTTCTGCCGACTGGGAAGACGGCCGTGATGGCTGAATCTGGCGTGGCCCGCCTGGGACCAGGTGGTGACCTAGAGAATGAAGGCCACCCACGGTAGAACAAGACAGCAAGAGCCCGGGCCCCTGGGGTCTCTGCAGAGCAGAGCTGTCTGCCGTGGCTGTCACTTGGGAGAAATCACTCAGGCCAAACCTAAGCATGACGGTCGGAGAAGCAGCGGCAGACTCAACGTGTGCTTGGGAGGGGCACCCGACAGAACTCAGTCGTGACCCGGATCTGGGGGTGACGGCGCCCGAGGAACCAAGGATCACTCCTGGGTTTCTGGATTGCACAACCACGCAGATGGATGGCGATGCCATCTGCTGAGACAGAAACGCTTGGGTGGGAGCAGGTCAGAAGAAGAGGAGAAACAGTCCAGGGCCAGGTGAGGGAGGTCAGGAATTCTGAGAGGAGACGCGCGCTTGGCTCGAAACCACACCCGACGCTCCCTATTCCGTCCAAAGGCTCGGAAAAACACAACGGCGCAGGGAGAGAAAAGGCTTAGGAACCAGAGGACACAGGTTCCGTTTCTTCACTGCTTCCCGTGCAACCTTGAATGACTCCCTTATCTTCCCGAGCCTCAGTTTTCCTACCCATAAAATGGGATACCGCTTTCCTTGCTTCCTTCTAAAGGTCACTGGAGGATGTGCTCATGTACCATATGTGAAAATAGTATAAAGTGGCCCCCTAATTAAAGGTAGTAAATAAACACGTAGTTGGGGCGCCTGGGTGGCTCAGTCGGTTAAGCATCCGACTTCGGCGCGGGTCATGAACTCACAGTTCATGAGTTCGAGCCCTGCGTCGGGCTCTGTGCTGACAGCTCGGAGCCTGGAGCCTGCTTCCGATTCTGTGTCTCCCTCTCTCTGCCCCTCCCCTGCTTGTAAATATATTATTTATTTGTTAAACAAATAAACAAACATTAAAAATAAAATACATGAAAAAAATAAACATGTAGTTAATAAGCTGTTGGCAAAGGGCTGAACCCCCGGATGGAAGTGGGGCTCGAGCTTGCTGAGTCGGATCTGGAACCCTGTCAAAGGACATTTGTAGCGGACAGGACCTGGGTGATGGGGGAGGCTGGTAGAGCTCCCGGGGCTGGGTGCCCCAAAAGCAAAGCTGAGTGGTGCTCCAAAGAGGGGACCCGCCGCCTGCTCAGCTGTGCGTTCCCCACCGGCCGCCCTCAGCTGCGGGCCTGGGGAGGAGTTCTGGAGCCACAGGAAGCCTGCCTGCCCTGTCCTGACCAAGGCCAGCAGGATGGCCATCCGCTCAGGCCCATCTGTGCCTGGCGTGTGGACTAGCTCTGTTGTTTAAAACTGGTGTCCCCACTGGCTGCTGAGCTGTGTTCTTTGCCCACTGTGGGGGCCTCTGCCTCAGTTTCTCTGTAGAGCCAGACTTGGATTCTCCCCTGATAGGCGGCCTCCACTTTCCTCCTGTTGGCTGGACACTGACCCCCCAGCTCGCCGCTGAGATCCTGCTGGCACGCCTCCTCGATCGGAACGGCCCCGGAGGCTCCCTCCGGCCTCACTTCTCACCAAAGCCTCGCACGCACCGGGGATCCGACCCGGCCTGTCAGCCTGCAGGCGCCCCCCACCTCCACGCCTCTGCACGTCTGGAATGACCTTATCCACTCTCCTCTGCCGGGCACGTTCCTACCCATTCTAGGCTCGGAGTAGCCCATCGGGAAGCGATCACCTCCCGCGTCCCCACTGTCCGCCCCTGCCACGGCTCTCTGCACGTGGCTGTTACGGTGCCTGGCTGTGCACGTGGCCTCCCCCAAAGACTGCACATTCCGTAAGGACACGAAGCGTGTCTCACAGCGCCAGCTGGGCCTGGCCCAGGGCCCGGGACTCCCGAGCCACCGGAGACGCCCGGTGTGTGGTGAAGGGATGGACGGTGGGCCGGCCAGATGGATGAACGGATGGAAAAAGGCCCATCAGCATTAGCCCAGTGCCAGTCTGCCAGGCTCCTCTGGACCCTGCGTTTCGGGTGCTCGGCCACTTCTCCACCCCTGCGCCACTCGGCTCTGCAGCTGGCTCAGTTCTCTTGGCCCTGTCCTGGCTTCCCACCCTTTCCTTCCAGCCCACGGGAGACCCAGCAAGCCCTGAAAAGTGAGCGCTGTCCACTCCTTACACATTCTCCCGCACCTTGGCCGGCCCCTACGAGGACAGTCACGCCTTTAAAGATCCAGGGCTACAGGTGATCCCTCGACCTGACCCGATTTGACCCTTCTCGGCTTTCCTGTCCCTCCTCCTTCCCTCCCGCAGCATGGGTCCAGCCTGGAGGCAGGACGAAGCCTAGGCTTCTATCCCCACGCCCCTGCTGCGGGGCTCCTGACAGGCCAGAAGTTGCAGAGACTAGAAGGTGCCCCCCCCCACCCCACTCCAGAGCCCTCAGATGTTAGGCCCAAAGAAGCTGCTTTTTGCCCAAGGGACCTCCAGTGCGAGGAGTCAAAGGAAAGAGGTGCGTGTGGGAGCCCGTCGTCACCCACCGGAATCCGTTCTGTGAGTTCCTGGGGTTGACCAGGACGCAGTCCCATGTGCGGCTGGGAAAGTTCTGGAACAGAACCAGCTGCCCTTCCTCCCGAATCCGGCCACTCGAGACGTAGTCCGCCACAGCCACCTCCTTCACCCGGAACGGGTTCGAGAACAAGTTGGTGACGCTATTGAGGGTGTTGACCAGGCGCCCAAAGAACTGCATCTTCCGCGGGGCAGGTGGGGAGGCCCTGCCACCTGCCCCCTCGGTCTGGAAGAAAACGGGGTCTCTGGTCAGCTGGGCTCGGTCTCCCATGCCCACCTCACCAAGGGTAGCAGTTTCCTGCACAGGCTCCCAGATCGCTCCCCACCAGTGCTGCTGGTTCTGGGCCTGGAGGGACCTGGAAAGGAGGGAGAGAAAGAGAAATGACACTGGGTAGGGGGTCAGAAGGCCTGATGGGAAGCTGCCACCACACCCAGGGGGCCAGACCCCTCCTGCTTCCTGACCAGTTTCCCCAACGAGGCCTCAGTTTCCTCGTCTGTAGTGTGGAGCCGTGTCACTCAACGAGGCGGCAGACAAAGGGGCGCCTGGGTGGCTCAGTCGGTTAAGTGTCCGACTCTTGATGTCGGCTCGGGTCATGATCTCACAGTTCGCGAGTTCGAGCCCCATGTCGGGCTCTGCACTGACAGCATGGAGTCGGCTTGGGATTCTCTCTCTCAATCTCTCTCTTTCTCTCTCTCTCTCTCAAAATAAATAAATAAACTTAAAAAAAAAAAAAAGAAGATGGCAGACATGAATACACATAGACGATACTGCTCTGTCCAGATGGAGGGGTTCTTGCTACCTGAGGTTCAGAGTCAGGATTTGAGCATTCAGAAAGCTTGCCATGAGTCATTTCAATTCTGCAAACGAAGCCAGCGTCCCGTCTCTACAAGAAGCCGCAAGGGGACCAGGATCGTCCCACACTCCATCGGGGGTGGGGGGACTGGAAGCGTTGGTCTCCAAGTGCCTCGGCTTCCCAAGTGCCTCGGCAATGAACGTGAACGTCAAGACTTACACACCACAAACGTGTGTTTGGATGGAAACACATTTACGTGTCAGATTCAAAGGGTCACGGTTTCTGCCGTGGAAACTGTTCCCAGTTGGGACGACAGAATCAGACGTCTCACTGTTGCCTAGGCTCCCAGAAAGCATACTGCGTTCCTGGGGCAGGGCCACCAAAGCTGGGTGACATTTAGCTACAGGCTGCCCTCTGGCTCCGGGTCGGGAGTGTGGGCACCCCGGGGGAGGGTGGACATGTGAACGGACACTGGCCACACTCTGGCCCAGCTCTTGAGGAGAGGATCGAGCTTGGGGATAAAAAGAACAAGAAGGTGACGATAATTACACCAGGGGATGTTTACTGAGCCCTGACTGACTGGGCCACAGGCCCTGAGCCAAGCATCTTACGTGACTGTCTCATTCCATTCTGAGAAAACCACACGAGGCAGGGTGCCGGAGCAAAACTGTGTTCAAATCCTTACCAGCTGTGTGTCCTCGGGCAAGTCACTTAACCTCTCTGTGTCTCAGTGTCCTTATGTGCACCGTGAGAACCGTAACGGTGCCCAGTAACAGAACCTGCAGACAGCGAACGTTCAATAAACGTTATTAGTCCTCTTTACTCCGATCGCCCTCCCTCTGACAGATAAGGAAACTGAGGCTCGGAGACCGTGCTTGCAGAGTTTTGAAAGTGCTCTAGAGCTGTGCAGCAGCCTTCCTCTTATGATCAGTAATAAGATGTGGCGGGAGCAGGCTGTGAGCCTCAGTGTCCCCTTTAAAGTGAGGACAGTGCTCACCTCTCGTGTGCTCTGAGGTTAAATGAAAACTTCCTTAAGAATGTTTAGACCTGGGGCGCCTGGGTGGCGCAGTCGGTTAAGCGTCCGACTTCAGCCAGGTCACGATCTCGCGGTCCGTGAGTTCAAGCCCCGCATCGGGCTCTGGGCTGATGGCTCAGAGCCTGGAGCCTGTTTCCGATTCTGTGTCTCCCTCTCTCTCTGCCCCTCGCCCGTTCATGCTCTGTCTCTCTCTGTCCCAAAAATAAATAAAAAACGTTGGAAAAAAAATTTAAAAAATAAAAAAATAAAAAAAAAAAAAAGAATGTTTAGACCTGTGCCAAGGTCCTTCTTTCTCCTGCCCTTGGGAGCGGAAAGGACAGAGGTGCTGTGGGGGGGGGGGGGCCCGCGCCCCCCCCCATAGCCAGAGGAGACGGGAGGGACCCCAAAAGACGGCATGGGAAATTGTCCCTGGAAAAGACGCCTCCGAGACAGAAGGCGTGGCACACGCATCAGTGTGCGCGGCAACAATGTTTGTTTTCACCCAGAAACGGAAGTAACTTCTACACCCAACATTACAGGAATCGTAAATTCCGCCGTGTTTACTCCAGAGAGCCCCTGGAGTCACGAGAGACAGTGATGGTGACCGTTACAGCTCAGGAAGCACGCGGTGGTGTTACAGGCTCTGTGGCGTCGAGTCCTCGACGCTCCCTGTGCTGTCTGTGAACTGCAAACTTGACCGCAAGGCCCCTGCCTCTCTGCGCCGCCTCTCCCGGTCGGTCCCACCCACTGGGCTCCAAACCTCACAAGGTTCCAGAAAGCAGGGCTGTCTCGCACTGCCTTGCCTGTCCACTGTTGAGCTGTCTATCTGCTATGTCCTTCCTCTTCTTGATCCTCCTGCCTGACATCACACCAGCCAGACCAAACACTCATGTGCCTCTCGGTGCTCTCTGGCCCTGGGTCAAGAACTTGACATATATTCATCTTTAATCTGCACCACCACCCTATGAAATTGTTACCATTATCATCCTCGTTGCACCTATGAGAAAATCAAGGAACAGAGAGGTAAAGCAATGGGCCCAAGGTCACACAGCGAGTGGGTGAAGGACAAGAGTTAGAGCCACACACGCTGGCTCTAGAGAGAGTCTGAGCTTCTTAAGGACAGGTGCTTGGTCTTTTCGCCAACGTGCACTCACCCCTGGCACAGGCGTGGCCCACAGCAAGCCTGTGAAAACATAATTTAACTGAGTAAAAATTATGCAACAACCACGACGGAAGGGATAGAAAAATACCAAAATACTAAGGGGAGATGAGGATATTGGGTTCATGGGCCATTTTCTCCCCCTTTTTCCTATTTGTCAAATGGAATGGAAAAGGATTTTGTGTGTGTGATGATTCTATTTTTTTAAAGAAAGTAGGAGTGCAGGCTGAGCCCCTGGGGCCCACAGCTGGGGATATGGGGACCCACGGGGGTCAGGACCAGCTTAGAAAATCAACACAGGGGCGCCTGGGTGGTTCAGTCAGTTAAGCCTCTGATTTCAGCTCAGGTCACGATCCCGCGGTTCGTGAGTTCGAGCCCCGCGTCGAGCTCTGTGCTGACAGCTCAGAGCCTGGAGCCTGCTTTGGATGCTGTGTCTCCCTCTCTCTCTGCCCCTCCCCTACTCATGCTCTGTCTCTCCCTCTCTCTCAAAAATAAACATTTTTTAAAAAGAGAAAAAAAAAAGAAAAAAGAAAAGCAGCACAGAGGCTTCCCAGAGAGCAGGCGGGTGGCACCAGGAGAGGGGCTCAGAGGCAGTGGGTACAGTCCAGAGCACCAGCGCCCATGAGCCCACTGGAGGTTGAGGGGAGAGTCACCACGGGCGACCAGCTGGATGGAAAAGCAGACATCCGGCCCCAGAGGAGAAGACGCCTTCCTCAGGCTGGTGGCCGGGCTGGTGGCCGGGCTGCCTCCCACATGCTGACGACAGCCTGGCCACAGAAAGGACAGGTCTGGCCATCACCCGGAGGCTTCCAGGGTGGGCGTGAGGGTGAAATGACACAATGGAGGGAAAGCGTCCCAGACGCTGGCCGACCGTGGGCACACAAACAGGGGCCATTGTTTATCACAAGGTAGAAGAAAGGAAATGAAACCCCTGGGCCACATCCTGGAACAATCATAACAGACCAGCCCGGAAAGCAGCAAGTGAGAAGCAGACAGAGCGCATGCCTGTGCTTCCCTCTTGCTTCGCTTCTGCGCTCTCCCTCCCATCCTGCCCCTGACCTTGGAGCCCACGTTGTTTCCAGCGAGGCTGCAGGGGGGAGCACGCGGCTGCAGCGGGGGGCACGCGGGGCTGGGGAGCAGGCTGCCATGGGAACAGCGCCCCCCCCACCCCCCTCACCCCTGCCTTCCTTCCCGCTCTGGCTTCTCACAGCTACTTGCCCTTGACCTCCCTCCCCAGATCATCAACACTCGCTTTCATCTGCTGACACCCGGTCTCTATGGCTCCTCACCTGGGCTTGCTCCCTGCACGTAGGTGGTGGCGCAGGGGACACCAAGGTCATCTGGCAGGGACTGTCCGCTCCTGGGCACCTAAGGCTCTGAGCAGCTCTCAGATGCCACACGCAGAAAAGCAAGAGCTTTTGTGGTGAGGGGGACGCTGACAGTCCCGCCTCTGCACTCCTGCGATTTCCGGGTGTCACCTACGTCTTCCCTTCAGTGAGGCCGGATTTCTCTGGCCTCTTCTCCTTATTTTTGCTGACCCATCCCCTGTCAAAGGCCCAGCCCGCCTGCTTGGTTTCTTCAGGGAAGACTCAGAGAGTCTTCTTCTGCTGGGTGAGGCGCCCCTAGGGGAGAGGACCTGTCAGGCAGGAAGGACGCGTCCTAGTGTCCCCATTTTAGAGATAAAGTAACTGAGGCCCTCGGAGGCCTCAGACTGTGGGTGTGGGAAGGGCAAGTTCAAGTGGGACATACCGATGTCCGCCAAAAAAGAAAACAAAACAAAAAAAGAAACAGTACTGGGGTCACAGGCAGATTGGAACCAACGGGTGGCGTCTCTGGTGAGTTCCCCGGAAGCGGCCGGTTGGGTTCATAAAATGAGCAGCCCCGGGGGGACCCAAGCCCAGTCTCTGTCCCCTGGTGGGGGGGTGGGGGGGGGGAAGAGTCAGGAAAGGAGGACTGCAGGACGTGATTCTTGAGCTGAACTTTGCAGGGGGGCCCCGGGTGAAAGGCCACCCCACAGACGGAGCACAAGAGAACCTGTGGGAAGATAGGGAGACGGCCCGTATGACGTGTCCGGGGACGAGCACCTTCACGGGGCCTGGGCGGTGTGGATGGGCACCACGGGCACTGCTGGATCAACATGAAGACTGGTCGCCACGGAGCCACTCTGCCAGCATCTAATTTAAAGCCGTGCTCGGGGGACGCCTGGGGGGGCGGGGGGCAGGCTCAGTGGGTTGAGCCTCCGACTCTTCGTTTCGACT